GACATGACGGCGAGGAACGAGAGATAATTATGAGGCAACCTAAGAACAACAGAGAGAGACACAGGAGCTGAAAACCGACAGAGGAGACAGCCAGGAACGATAGGGACGACTGCAAGAGACCACAGTGGAGACAGCGAGACACAACGGTGATTACGGGGACAGACTGCAGAGACAATTCCTAGCGACTACAGAAACAACTAGAATGTGATTAGGAATGAGAAGCACCTTGCAGACAGGAATGACTAAGTCCTTTGCTCAACTAGCTAAAACCTTTTCACACTACGGAGTCTGATTGGGGAAGTTGAGTCCAACTATGTCCGCTCAGGAAGCCGCAGCACGGGCCTTGGCAACTGCCAAAGGCTCTTCCAATGACTTAACCTCAAGGTGAACCCAAGAGACTCACAACTTCAGGTCCATCGAGACCTCTGCGAGGGATCAGTGGCAACATACAACAAACTCCCCCTAACAAAGCAAAGCGAAACGAAAAACGACTCTTGACTCCACTAAGTCGCAAAAGATCCTTCACCTTTGTCCAGTACGGTCCAGGTACGCTTCCCAACCTTCCCTCCGGTACCGAATAGCCTCAGCAACCGGAGAGGTTGCACCAAGAACACCTCTTCCAGCAATGATGAAGTCCGAGCCGCCAAGGACCGCAGACCTTGGAGTCTGGTACTGCTGACCAAGCTCATCCCCCTCCGCGGACCTGTTCACCCCCGTCGTGAAGGTCACAAAGTCCGCGCCCTCTCCGGCCGTCGTCAAAGCCTTGGTGGCCACGAACCCAATAACAGACTCCGGGTACCTTGCTGCCAGCTCTACGCACCTCTCTGTGTACTCGCCGCTGGCCAGGCTACCTTGGGAGGTCATCTCAGCCAGAAGCAGCAGCGCTCTTTGCCCCTGGAACGGAAAGCTGGGGTGCTTGATGGTTTGGTCGAGCGCGTCCACAATGCCTTCCCCCCCGAGGATGGAGAGGTTGACAATATCCGCCCATTCGGAGATGCGCAGCGCACCGCCGTGGAACTGCCCGATGACTGTGTGCCCGATATCAACAAATTTGCGGTCCTCGAAGATGAGGAAATTGTGTGTTCGCGCGATGGCCCTCAGCCCGTTGATCGTGAGGTCGGAAAAGTCTGATATCATGTCGATATGTGTCTTGAAGACGGCAATGTACGGTCCGATGTCTGGAACATGTAATCTTAGCAGGGCGATCTATGGGTCAAGAGCTTATGCGTAGCCCACCATAGGCACATTTCAGCATCTCTGCGGTGGTTCTAAAGTCGGCCGAGATGATCAAATTCGACTTCTTGGTCTCGGCGATCTCGAACAACCGTTTGGCGACTGGGTGTGGGTGTGTTTGTGCCCGCGTATGGTAGGCCGCTTTCGGGTTGCAACCGTTGCCCTCGGTCTCGGTCTTCATTTTGTCGCTGCCCACCCCATGAAGGTGGTGATGCTAAGTGATGAATGCGGGCATTGCGAAATTTTCGTGGAAGGGTGCGAAGGGTGACTATCCAGGTTCATCATCCGCCACCAAACCTTTGTAAGCCAGAAAAAGACACTTCTGCCGAGGCGAGAAGGGCGCCCACACTGTGTTTCTAGCTGCAATGCGACTAAAGAAGATCAATATCCGGATGACGCCCAGATATTATCCTTAAAGGCGCACGATCAAGGCGTATGATGATGTATGTTGTGCATTATAGACGGCTTTGAGAAAATTACCAGCACCCTACGCTCACAGTGAGCTAGCTACGAGGAGGTAAGAATAGCAGCAAAGAGCGATGTTCAGGCTACAGCACATGCGCTTTAGTGCTACGGTAGCGGAAAGTCGGCATGGGCCTCAGTCTCTGTGCAATCGACACACTCACTAACCACCTTTTCTGGCCTATGGTAATCCGTATACGCACTGCAGATTATGAAACCATGTGCTCTTGGCAGTCAAACATAGCAACCCTAGTAAACACGCAATTGCAGCGAGTTTGCTCAAGCATTATATTGTGCAGGTCTGGCTGGAATGGACGCCCTTCATACGGATCGACTTTCAATCGTTTTTAGAGCAATGTGTGACTTCGATTGACCAACGAAAGTAGAATGCTAGGGATCATGTCCACAAATGTTATATCTTGCCATTAGACTGAGGCAGTAGCTTAGAATTACGTATGCTACTACGACACCTTGTTCCTGACTCAGACAGACCGTTTGCCCCAACAGCTTTCTACCATGGCCCATTCACGCAGGGTTATGCGAACAGGAGGGTGGATTTCTGGGCCACTAAAGTCTGGTAGCACCTTGTCCAACACTGTCACATAGTCTGCGGCATGGGTATAGATGATCACTTGGGCACGACTGGCAGGCTCTGGTGTCGAGTTCTGTAGCTGGCGCCTGCGACCCTATTGTTTCTGGGCCTCATCCAAGGTGGTCTAAGAACTGCAACGACCTTGCGATGGGCAGAAGTTGACTGTGAGGTGAAATGCCGTGATCCAATCAATCAACGGAATGGAGATGTCTGAGTCTTCTCCAGATTCATTGCCATCATCGCTACTGATCTCATACTACGTGTAGAATATTCTGTCATTGCTATACCAGATAGAATCTATATGACACTACCACTCCAAGAGGCTATTTACCCCCCAAGTCAATAACTGCAAGCAAAGCCGCAGGTGACCGGCTGTACTGTGGTAGAGAGCAAATGCTCATCCCGCCTGGGCCATAGATAGATGTAGAGGACCTATCCCACACACCTAACACCTGCAGACCTCACGCCCGGACCTTCGGCTTCGGTTGAACAGCAGTCACGCATCTGTTGTTGTGAAGCATTGCAAAGGTCGCCTGACATCTTGGCCCCTAGTTTAGCGCAGCATCTCTGCGCAGCCGAGGTGTTATCATCCCGTTTCCCCGGGGTCACAGAAAGACAGGTACAAGCACCCGTCACTAAGCTTGCAGTTTGCAAGAGTAGGAGACCGACAACAGAGGCGTAGAACTTCATTTTGATTTTTGTAGGAGAATCTTAAAACAAGTAAGTGATTGACACGGTCCAACTTCAAGTCACCAAACGCTTACATGAAGAGTTGTTTTTGGCGTCTTGGGAGGAAGTCGAGGATTGGGGTAATCGATTGACTGATGACTGAGTGAGTTAAGTTGAGGATGTGATTTTCGAATGTGGGATGTTCAAGCCTTGAGCGTTGCTTTATAAAAGCCCCTGGAAGTCAACATTTTCTCTGATTAAACTATTGAAGTATCTACTATAATCATAGTAAGCACGTACCTATAATGGGAGATTTGTGATAAGCTGTCTTCTGCCCAAGTGAAACTGTCCCCTAACATATCCCATCGGCAGCCGTAAGACTGGGTCATCATGTTGGGAGGCCTTTCTGGCGTCAAGTGGAAGCCGGCGGGATAAGGAGAGTTGCAACCGGCGGCCCCGGCCTTGTTTGAGGTATTATTATCATTCTAGGCCAATCATGCGACAAAGCAAAGACCCCAAATTTTGCGAGTAAGACTGAATAATTGAAGGATCTGGAAGCCTTCAGCTTGAGAACCTTATTTTGAGTTCATCTGGGTTGAGCTCCTCAGGGCTGGGCTGATCCAAACATCGGACGTCAGCTGAGGCGAGACGAAACCAAACAGGACAGCGTATTGTGTATCCAGTAGCTTGGGAATAGAATGGGTCTGCGACAGACTGCGGGAAATAAAACCAATTTACTCCTACGCGCTGGCCCATCATGGTACAGCTCTAAACTCTTTTAGTTGAAATACCGATATCAAAACCTGCGAGGAGCGACAGCCACAGCGTCAAGACAGCTAAATACCAGCCAAGTGTTCGTGATAGCATGCTTATTTGACGAACATCTTCGCCTGCGGGATCCGCAAGAGATCAACTGAAATGGCTCACAGGTCTGGATATTGAAAAAGAAAACTCTGACCGGCCGGTATTCATCAGCCGTAGCAATGGGCGTGAACGGTCCGACGCTTTTGGTATCATTGCAGTAACAAAAGCTCTTGCGCGTGTTGAGTATCAGTGTACCTAGACTTGGCGGCGTTGACGAGCCAAACGTAGTTGTCAACACTGCTGAAGGAGAGGGTGTGGGTGTCGGGCTGGCCGAAATGGAAGTATTCGATGTGCTGATATTTGGTGCAGTCGGAGTGTCCCGATGACGTGACGCCATAGAGGGAGCATGGGGCTGCATCGCATTGCTGGGATGAGTCGATGGGTGTGGGTGTTGTTTGGCCCGTTCTGCTGATCATCGGGCCGTTGAGCACAGTGCTAACGTTGAATAAAGTATAGACTTTTCAATTGGTGCTGCTGTCACTATTCGGTGATAGGGGATGCGGCCTGCAAGGCTGGCGTTGTCGCAGGTTTCTCTTTGGAGCCCGTAGTAGGCCCATTACAATCTGGGAGCGCAGTTAGCCGCGGCTGGTATTGGAGTTGACCTGGTGGAAAATGTTGCTAATAGTGATAGCGATCGGTCAACTCTTACCTGCCGTCTGACGCGTCGTACCCATCGGCGACTTGAATGGGGTTGATATAGACTTGTGTACGTGTTATTTATGTACTATTTTACGCCGGTGCGTCCCTGTATGCTTAGGGCAACAAGTGTCTAACAGTGGTGTATCTAGTCCTATCGAACAGAAAATAATGGAAGATTGGAGTACGACAGCGGAACCCGAAAGTGGCATGCATGAGGTACTGGTGACGAGGGGAAACTATAGGCTGCTACAGGTAAAGTTGTGGTTGAACGTAGAGTACGTGGTTGTTGAACTTGTTACACACCTGATGACACTTGTTTAACGGCTGAGGGGACTGGGGAGGACAGTCATTAATACCGTCTGAATTGTCGTGGAGGCCATGGTCTGCCACTAGGATAGGGTCAAGTGGCATCGTTGTCGTTGATACCAAAGGGGCTGGAAGGACTGGCGCACGGCCGGTGATAAACGTAGATATAACAGCTTCGAAATCGATTTACCATGACTAGCTATATGTACTTGAAAGATGAAACGTGAAGTGATAACTAAGCGCTAGCGTCATTCCCGGAGCCGCCAAATGGTTGATAATCAGCACCTGAATCTGGATTCATCGACGGAATATTGAAGAAGCCTCCAGTGGTCATGTTTCCAAACCCCATATCCACGAAATCGTCTTCGGAAAACCCTTGCCAATTCTGCGCGTCTGTGTCTGCCCAATTGAAGTCATTTCCCGCTTGAAGATCCGGGAGGCTGACTACTTGGTGACCTCCAGAGGTACTGGAAGACCCATTATGCATGAACGCACCAGGTGCTGGGTAAATCTGGACGTGTTAGTTGCTAGAGGGGTGGAATTGCGTACAAACTCACCTCCTGAGAAGTATTTGGCGGGAGGGCTTGCCCCGTCTTAGGAGCAATGAGTCGTTCACGGATGGCCTTCACACAATTATCAGTATGAGGACCACTGCACGAAGCCAGTGGAAGGACATACCGAAGAAGAAGCCTTTGGCCCGGCTGATGTATTGTTGAGCATCGTATCTGCGCCCGGCGGCGAAGGTTGTCGCATGACAATAACACCTGGCGAATCACCGTCCTCCAATACGGTGCCAATTTGGTTGTGCATCACCGGAACAACGCACTTGCCCTTTGTGGGAGTTGGGATCTGGACCATATCGCTGGCTTCGCCGATTCTATAACGTTCATAATCGGCATACCTGGAGCCTTGGAGTAGATCTTTCGTCCTTTTGTGTATGAGTTCTTCAAGGGATTGCTGCAAGGCCGAAACGCCTATCTGCGCCTGTACTGAGAGACCGAGACGTTGGTGTACCAGTCCCATGACGTCTTCAGCAGTCTTCAAGACAAATCTCTTACATCCCAAAACAGCTATATCGTGATGTTCGATCACAGGATCGAAAGCTACGTTTGTATTGTTAGCAGGCTTCTACGTAGCAAGGATAGTGCCACATACTATGGGACGGTATTTCTTCATCATCAGGAAAAAGTAGTTTCCACAATTGATGCCAAGTCTGAATCTTGCAGTTGGAAGTACGGCTTCTGAGACTCTTATCTTTGCGACTGTCCACGCCATCTTCCGGGTCTGGGGTTTTGGGATCGGGGCTGGCCTTCGACTGTCGGTTGCGAAGGCAAACCTCTGGTGGGTGGTCTTCGCCCATTCGCGGTTGCCCACAGTATACACAGGACTGTTTCCCATGCTCTGCGCGAATATGTATCCTGTGGAATTGTGTCGAGTCAGCTCTAATCTGTAAACAGTGTAGTAGGAGAACGTATCCCATGCTTCGCACCAGCTGGGAGGGTATGGCAAGGCATTGGAAGCTTACTTCAGATCCCCCATATTCTTGTAGGATCTATTGGCACAGGCGTCGAAGTCTCGGGCATTGAATCTCCACGGGTTGCGTTTTCTAAAGGGGCAGCTGAAATGCTCTTGACACCCGATGCGTCGCCTCTTATTGCCTCCTTTTTTTGTTGGACCCTGGTCTTGGTCAGGATCTTGTTCAACCTCGTCATCACCGTCGTCTCCACCCTGGTCTTCGGCTGGTCGCTTGTTTGTTCTTGGCTCTGATTGTTGGGCGCGGTTTGATGTCTTGTCATAGGTTGGATTGCCGTAGCTGTCAGCGCCTTCTTCGACATCATAGCAAGAAAAGCCGTCGTCATCCCAGTCAATAGTCGAGAATGATTCTTCTTCCCGGAGGATCTCGGCACACTGGTCTTTGAACTCGGAAAACGCCTCAATGACACGAACGGGACGACTAAGCCGGTTAAGGCCGACTCCAAAACAGCGGGATAAAGCAATGCTAGCGGCTCTCTCTAAGTCAAGATCAGAGCGACTCATCTCGGAATCGGACTCGGATTCTTCAGAGCTAATCGATGCCTCTGTCGTGATGTTCATATCTGTCGACGGGGCCGGCTGTTTCGGAGTACTACTATCGTCGCGGGAGAGTTGAGATTCTGGTATGTGGGGATCCCGGGAAAGTATCGGTAAATCTGCGGTGAACTTGCCTAAGGGCAATGCCTTGACATGATCTCCAATACCAACGAGACCAAGCTCCATGGCGTGACTTGGTGCAAAGGTCAGCCGCGTGGGGCTTTGATGTCGGGATGTTGTTGGGGTTGTTGCCGGTGGAGAATGCATGTGAAGATCGAGATTGGGGGCTGAAAAGGTCGTAGAATGGTCTTTAGAATATGAAGTTGAAATAGTTCCTACTGAACGATTGTCGTCGATTTGAGGTTTTCTCCTATGAAGCGCAAGCCGTTGGAGGGCTTCGACCGATTTCCCAAGATTTATAGGGTCCCTTGGGCCTGTAGTGGAGGCGGCACCTTCGACTGCCGCCTCATTATCGTCGTGCATCATGTCGTTTTGCGAACCAATGCAAACACAAGCTAAAACAATGATCTGAGGCCTGTGACCCGATTTTTGTTGTAATAATGAAAGTCAAACTGTCGTGTCAATTTGTCAAAGAGGACAGGTAGTGCAGAAGAAAAGAGGGATTGATCCGGCGGCCAGCCACCGCGACGACACGTGCCATGCAAGCAGGCTGCTGTGACCAGGGGCGGAGTCAAGGGATCAGATTGGGCGGTTTTCATTTTCAAAACTTTGAAATTGAACTTCAATTTATTAAAACCCATCAAAAGGAGCCAGAGGCCACGACCGGATGTGAGACCGGTAATAACCGAACCTGTAAGATAGCTGTAAAGAAATGCCACATGTCTTGGCACAGCGACAGTGCCGATGCTATCATTGGTCTGCATGATCTCATTTCAATCAACTTCGCATGAACACATTTCATTGGGTCTGAGTTAACCAATGATTAAGGCTGGCTGGGTGACATAGCCTGTAAGGCGTTTTCGGTGAGTAGCTGAGCACGACAGAGCGGGTCAGCGGTTGCCTCGTTGTGGTGAGAAGACTGGCGGAGCTTTCTACATATGAAATGTGTCTAAATATTCGTTCAGGTCCGTGTACGTATCCCTCCCGTCATTTTAAGTGAACAGCTGTCGCCGAATAATATTCACTCGCTGCTGAGTCTCATACATACCCTGTTGTCACGGAACAGGCGTGTTTGCAGACTCGCCGAAAGGCCGCAACTGCATCCAATTGGTCGGGGCGTGCCAAGTCAGATTCAATCTCACGAAATCGAAATCTAGTCAAAGAGCTTTTCAAACTCATTCTAATGACTCTTAATTGAATCATATTAACTCAGGAGACCACAGCTCGCGTGTTCAAGTCTGAAAATCATGTCGCTCTTATGCTACTAAATGTCTTCAATGCGTCTCATTGAATGCAGAACCATCTTCCGATGAAATTTCTCTCCCTTCAATGCATTCTTCGGGTTCAACTTCCACATAGCTATCGGGAACTTCTCAATCGCGACACAGATCTTTTGGTCCGGCCACCACGAGCCGTATCCACGATTCAGCTCAACAGCTCGAGCCATGTCTTCCGCCTCAGCGCATCAAAGCTAGTATGTCCATCAGTTGTTGTGGAAGCTGCGATGTTGTAAAGGTTATCCAATTAATCAGGCAGCTACAGTGAGACCCCTAGCAAGACACAGAATTACCTTGTTGCGAGGCACGTCAACGACCGGAACACCGTGCAAGATCGCCTCATCTTAAGAAGCAAGGGAGAGCTTGTTGGAGCCAAGTTTTCCCTTCAAACGAGTCGAGTGGTTGCAGAAGCTGATGCAAAACTATGCAAGAGTGGGAGATCAGTCACCACAACCCCACCCAGGAAAGGAGCATGAGTTCAATGAAATCGGGCAAGCCAGCAGAGGCAAAACTTTTGCAATGATGAAATGACAAAAAGTTCGATGATTTCTTACTTTGATTAAGAATAACGTGATGGATGCAAACCTTGGAGTTTACAACGGATTGCCCAGGGGAAACATATTAGATTTAAAGCCAGTACCATTGATGATTCAAATTCCTCCATACAAATACCTTCCCTCCAAGTGTAATAAGTACCTAATTCCCCAATTGAAATGATCCAAGGGTAAATCTCCATAATTGATGTCTGTCTACAGGCTTTCCAGTCCCGGTAATACGTCAACAAAATTGTACGCGATTTTATTTACTTGAGGTGTCTCTTTCGACCGGGCATGCTACGAGGCACCAGGCTCAGAGAATCGCATTTCCTGCCCTATGTCTTTCTTGAGCTGAGTTCCACTGTAGCAGCTAGCAAAGTTCATACGAGCCAAGTGGCCCTCGGTCGCATCCACGCATCCAGATTTCTCGGGCGCGTGTTTCTGATGGCGCTCGAAATATTGCCAATGATACATGCAGATAAGTTTATCAAATGGACACACGATACTTAGTCAAGGAAAATGTTTCCGAGGTCCCTGTAGTGTGTACACTGCCCCAATGGGATGCTGCCATTGCGTGCAAAGCGGCTAGCCAGATCTCCAAAGCAGCAAGGGTCGGTTGAGGATTAGCCGCTCAGATGAGTACTGCTTCTGAGACAAGACAATTTCGTATTGAGAACCAACGCCAACGAGCTGGGCCTTGTGTGTACGGCATGGACAGGTTCCGCTGTAAGCTCGCGGCGCAGCAGCCACTCATGTGTCTCTGTCGTTCGGAGACGTTACTACAAAAGGAACGACACCTCCTGAACGTTTCGAAATTTCAACCTTGAGAATCATGGGCTTGCAAAAAAGATACCGTCGTCACAAACTCGCCCACATCACCGACCTAGATGACACCCCTGGACCCCCTGCATGCCAACGACGGGCAGCAAGGCTGAGTTCTGTGTATCATAATGCCTAGGCCGACCATTCTCTTGGAACGAGGTCCTATCAAATCCTAAGATGCGGGCAGCCTGAAACGAACAAAATTTGTGACATTGTAACATACTTAGGTAAACAGTCTTCACACAAACAGTTCCCCTACAACTGAAAAGTGGCCGGGTACTGATCAAAAGCTTTTCATTGAGAACGGCCAAGAGTCCACGGGAAAGTCATAACATTGGCCGCAGCCTACCTAACAATGACATGTTCTTCGGCCAAATATTGAAATTGTACCTAGTACTTTGTCGGAAAGGCAAATCGATCAATATAGTAACCCTCAATATACCAGGCTGACTTGAGAGCTGCAGTTGCAGCGGAGGAAGCAGCTCGGACCTGAACATTTTCTTGGCTTGCAACCACTCAAGACGACCCGCCCCTGCCAGGCTACGATGGCTGTGCTGCAGCATAGCTGAGTCGTTCGGCCGTCTATGGCGGCCGCACCAACGTGCGTGAGCGATTCATTCATGCATTGCAGTATTTGACCAAATGGAGAGCCTCCCACAGTTTCGTAATGTGTATTTATTGCGTGATTGCGTGAGCCTTCGATCCAGGGAGGCCAGCATATGCTCACGTTACGACCGTTAAGGAGGGGCCGCTCCAGGACCTTCAAAAGCAGAAGGTCATTGAATTTATCATCTTTCATACACTGGAGTATCCAGCCTCGGTTGCTTCCGCGTTTATCACCGTATTTGATTCCAACCCGAACCTCCTCATCATGCCAACACCTACGAATCAAACCGCTATTCCTAGCGTCACTGCCCTACGGACACAGCTCGGCTACGGCGATGCGAAGAAAGAGAAGTTCACCGACTTTAAGAACGCCATGCTATCCTCTCGAGACGTCTTCGTGAGTGATGGAGGACTTAATGGTAAAGATCTCATTGACTGGAAATCTCGTGACCAGCAGAACGCCCTGTCGAAGATGGTTCAAGCCTTCCTAGACCGTGACGGGAATCCGCAAAGGTTTTGGCCAGATGATGGTGCACTTGATACCACAAAGCCCAAATTTTCAACGGATCAGAATAGGTGAGTGCAATGAGAGCCCTCGGGAGAGGTAAACTTCATGTTAACCAGTTTTCAGAATCAAGGACATTTTGCGACAACTTTTTTGGCGACTCAATCTTCAAGACCATCGCAACAACAAAAATCGGAACCCATTGAGTAAAGGAAATGACATAGGCAAGGGATCTCAACCCGGGCTCCATAGTAGCGACCCCATAGACGTGGAGAGCCATGAGGACGAAAACCCGCCCGGTCTGAGGTAGGCGATGAATGATCAAGTCTTGCTGTGGTATTTAGCTTACATGGGACCAATAGATCGGCTAGAGAGCGAAGTCACACCTTGAGAGTTGACGAGGGCCCAAATGAGTCAGAACTTGCCGACGATGCCTCTAGTTATTCGGTCATCTCAAGAGATCCGTATCTGGTACCACAGAGCCCTGATCTCGGTGCTCAGGCTCCGGTTGTAAGTCCATAATTGTAACCTGTAAATTTGTTGTATTCAGACTACGAGAGCACATGACGGCTGATCATGGAGCAACAAAAAGCAGCTTGCGCCATTTGCAGAGATGACACCGTCGACAAAAAGAGCAAGAGAAGTTGACTCGCCGTCGGCGCGCTCTGAGTCGTCTGCAAAACGAGGTCGCAAATCCTCGACGCAGATTGTTAACCGCTCATCGACTAGACACCGAAAGACGCGAAGAGAGCCGGAGTGGGCTACTCCGGAGCAGTACTGGGCCGCCGGAGAGTCTCCAGAGTGCCCATCAAGCCTGGGCTCTGCTGGAAACAACCTGGGTGTCTCGGTTGATGCTACCGTTGCAATAGTGACGTCTTCGCTTCGACGGACTATTGAGGATGTACCACAAGAGGACCCTGTCACCGACTTCATCGATGAATGGACCATGCAACAGAACGCCGACACAGATGCCATTCCAACGACTGAAGATGTGCCCAAGCATCGCACGATGACTCCCATTGCAACTGAGGGAGAAGACGCAGCTGAGAAACCTGACGCTGTATCAGATGTCTCGAGAGTGCACCCTTCTACTACTAAGACTTTTACATGCGAAGCCGCTGTTCCTGAAGAAACAGCTGCTAAAGCCGGCTTCCAACCCAATGGCAGTGCTGAATCGAACAAAGTCGATCCGAAAGCTATCGTTGCGCAGCCCAAATTTACCTACACAATTATGACACACTATCCCAAATACAGAGAGCGGTACTGGAAGCCAAAAAGTGGTTTCAGGCAAAAGACGCTTTCTGAACTGCTGACCGAGTTTCCAGCATGGGTACAGCTGTCTGATGTGGAGGCATTCCAATTCCTCATGGAGACCTCAAACACAGAGGTAGACGATATCATAGAACTGGAACAAGAGGAGAAGTTCGAGGAGATGAAGACGAAGTTTGAAAAGGCCATTCGTATGGAAATAGCCAGGACAGCAAGCAGCGACCAAGTACAAGTGAAAATCAGCATAGACGTGCGGACTGGGAGGGATCCAAAAGAGGAGGAGATGGACATTGAGAATATCAGGTTCTCATGGTTCTGATCACAGGTATGGAGACTCATTGTCTTGATTTGACCCGTAGGTACTGATGCCAGTGAGTATGTGGGCAACAGGGATCACTTCAGATCGAAAGATCTAGCGACATATGTTGGAATATATTGGATTTCCGCGTGAAGACTGTACGGATTGGGGATTATGTAGAATCTTGTTTTCTGGTAGCAAAGTCAATCATTTCAACTAAGTCACTTTCAATTTACTGACCAGGTTGCTGTTTAGGACGAACGTGCATCAATCTCAACAGGGCCGTCGTCGACAGTGATGCTGCAGGGGGTTGGATGATTCGTCAATGCACAACATTCTGGTTCCAAAGGGTAAAGAAATTGAATCTCTGTTGCTTTATCCCAGGGCCGAGGGTCTGAAATAGAGACTGCGTGCTTCTTGTATTTACCAGAGAGTTGGTGTTCAGATCACCTGAACTGTAGTTCATGAGCTCCAAGATCTCTAACAATATTTTTTAGTCTTCGATTTTGAATACAGAAAGTGCGATAACTATCACCACGCAGTATGGCCACCATCGATAACAAGCTGGCTTCCTGTCATGAAAGTGCTAGCATTGCTCATCAAGAATAGACCAGCACCCTTGAACTCAGTTGTTTCAGCGAGTCGACCGAACATGTTGTGGCCTTCCCACTCCTCCTGCAAGCCCGGCACTTCCCTGAAGTTCTGCTCCACCATTGGCGTCAAGATGTGACCGGGGGAGATGCAATTAACTCGGATGCCTCCAGAGCCATCTTTTCTCATCGGACTCCATTCCATTGCCAGGTTCCGCGCAAGCTGTATTACTGCCGCTTTTGAAGAGTTGTACGCGGGTGAAAGCATGCCGATGTTTGCGACGAGTCCTGACATGCTCGCGATTAGGCAGATGCTTCCGTGGTTCTTGTACTTGAACATGCTGCGAGCTGCAGATTGCGCAGTCATGAAGACGCCAGTGTAATTGACCGCAAACATCTTCTCAATTTCGGGGACCGTGTAGTCTATAGCCGGAGTTATTTGCATAATTCCTGCAGCGGCTATTACGCCATCCAGCCTCTGGTTCTTGTCGGCGATCTCGGTGATGACCTTGTCGAGGCCTTCAGTATCCACAACATCGGCTTGTCTGTAGTGCAGCGAACCGCCCCATTCTGGAACGACACGTTTCAATGCTTCTGCGTAGCCCTCGTGGGGCTTTTCTTGCTGATCAAGACAGTAAACTGAGACATCGTCAGATCCCAATTGCTACAAAGTCATGCTGACATCACTGGACCTACCCTTGCCGCCAGCTTCTACTAGCGCCTCTGCCAGGCTCAAGCCAAGACCCTGCGCCCCACCGGTCACGATAAACGTTCGGCCTTTCAGATCAAAGTCCGAAAAGCGGCCGCTGCCAAAGTTGGTACTCCGAGGCGGCTTGATTTCGGTCGCGGGGTGGTCGGTTGGCTTGGGGTTCTTGGGCTTAGCGTGATTCTGGGATTGCGTGCTGTGAAACGGTCGGCGCGGATGCGGAGGTTGCGGTGCGGAGAACTTCCGGGTGATAGCTGTCGGTGCAACGAATGTCGGAGACGGCCCCGCATGGGCCGAGATGGCGGCGCCGCGAACGGCTCTTGCTATCAAGGACATGTTTCTTCGCAATTAAGTGGGAATGGATAATGATTTGTTTTCTTTTATCGGGTTGTAGTAAGGGTGAAATTGCTGAGATATTGCAGCGTAGCAAGCTGTAGTTGACAACGACGATATTTATCTTCAGGAAAGGAACATTGTGAGCGTTATACGAGTGTGGTTGGGGGCATTTAAATACTACACCGGCCTTTGAATTTGTGGAGAGACTTCACCGCCAAGGTAAAAGAACAAAAAAAAACAGGTATTCAGTTTGAAACAATTTAGTCCCGTTTGTTTGACTTCAAACTGCCCAAAAGCGAGCCGACGTTCGAATTGACGTGCTGCTTTCGTCATCCCGAATCGCCGGAGCCCAACAGTTGTGTGACAGGAACAACAGCTCCTGCCATGTTGTTGTGTGACGGGCCAGCTATTGTTGGCAAACATCCCACGCCGTGCACGCCGCGGTCAGGTGGATGCTGTGCCAGGGGGCCGGAAGAAGTAAAGGAGCAGCAGCTCCGGCCTGTTGGTTCGCTGCATGATAGGAAGGACGAGCACGGGGCCGAAGATCACCTTGCGCAAGTTGGCAGGGCGTCGGAAATGCGGTTCAGCCACGATGGGAATCCCTGAAGATGACGCGGCTGACACTAGAGGTGAGGAAAGGTGCAGATACCAAGCCACAGGTACCATACTACCCTCCGTCGATCATTGGCGTTGGCCTGAGGAGGTAACACGAGGACCAGGAGCACGGCAAAGTTGCATGCGTACCTCGTTTGACAGGCTAACTTGGCGGAATGGGAGAAAGATCGTTCAGTGATTTGCCTCTTTCGTGCATGTAGGATTTACTCATAATTAACGATTTGATGGAGAGCAAATCGGGTCCCTTTCCCAGGCAACCCTTCCTGGTTGTCGACAGGCGGCCCAACCCTCTGATTGTCTCACTGGAGCGACCACGAGCTCCACCATACCCCTGGTTCGCGTGTCTACATGTTGGTACCCTGGAGTTATTACTGTTAGACTTCTGCGATCATCGCAGAAAGCCCAGTCTCGAGGGAGATGGACTTGTAACTGTGTTTTACCACAAACTCATACAATTTTAAGCATGGAAATTTGTGATGTATGCCTGGGACTCTTTCGCGCGGAGCTGACCTCCGTATGATGTGGGTCCACTCGGCCCGTCTCCGCGGTCCCCCGCAGGACCGATGGCAAATTCGAGACCAGAAGTTGACGTCACTCTGGATCACACTTGGTCAAAACTATAAGACTGTCGATCAATTTTGGTGTTTTTACGTGAGCTTCAATTAAAAGACCCAAAGAAAGTATCGTGACCATTCGATTACCGCATCACACATACTTCCGCTAAACCCCGGACATCCGAGCACTGATCACCGCTAGACCTTCGTGTCCCGCGCTTCGTCTCGGAAACCACCACGCGTGCCCACATCTTCAAGCTCAACTTGGAGCACCTTTTGAGTGTTCTTCTGCACCTTGTCCTGCACTTCCTTGCCCTCAAACATGAAGCTGAGCTCTTCGAGAGTTCGGCCGTATGTCTCTGGGAAGACGAAGTAGACGGTCGCGATCTCAACGAGGATCCAAACGCAGTATACACAGTAGTACTTCCAGCCGATGCTGTCCAGGGCGATTGGGTTGACGTAGGTGTTGAAAAAGACAGCGAATCTGACAGTGAGTTGCTCAACGGCGATACCCTGAGACCGGACGGTATATGGGAAAATCTCGACCATGTAGGTATACCTGCTATGGTTAGAGAAGTCTGCGCAGTCTTTTGGGAAGGGTTTGTCATACGTGAGAGCATTCCAGCCGATGTTATAGAATCTTTGAGTAAGCGTTAGTTGGTTGACACTTGGGCAAGGTGTTTGAGTACGCAAGGTTGACTCACGGCGAATAAAGATAGATAAAGACCAGAACGGGGATCGCGGCTGCTTTAGATCCATCGATTGCGAACCTAGCAGAGGCAATAGTCCAGACGGTGTAAACGCATGCGGTGCCTGTTCGAACCCATTAGCACGATGATCGACGTCAATGCTCACTAGCCCTTGAACAGGTTCTTCAACATCGTCCCGGATGGTCTCGTGTGGATTGAACTTTAACTACACCGCGGACTCTGCGGAAACTTGGGAGAAGTCTTAAGTATGGCTCCTTACCGATAGTGCAAATGAGGAACATCCTTCTACGAGGGAAGCGTGGCGCAATAAGAGCGATCGGTGTGGCGTTTATCAAACCTGTCTAGTCAGCCTCAATCTTGCAAAAGGAACAAGCACAAACACATTATCAAAGAAGCAGTGATGCATGCGTTTTATGCTCTATTGGGGAAGGGAAACATACCCCAGCAGGTGTTACTAAGGATGATCTTCTGGACAGTTCGGTTGTCGGTAATTCCGACAAGATTAAGAATCTTCTTCATGTAAAAAGACAGGAGGCCTGCGTATCGTTAGTACAGATCGCAGATGTGCGGTTATATCGATCATACCGTTTCCACTCCACTGCGTGAAGAAGCCGACAATGCCTGCAATCATGAATCGTCTGCGCATGGCAGCATCTCTAAAGACATCGCCCCAAGCGAACTTGCTGGCAACCGCCTTCTCTTGTTGAATGGTGGACTGGATTTGGGCGTATTCAAGACGAACAAACTCGTCGCCGTTCTCGCCTTCACTGTGGTACTTCTGCAGGATTGCAAATGCTTCATCGCCTCGGTCTTTTGAGATGAGCCATCGGGGCGACTCGGGGCAGAAGGGCATGAAGCAGATCTGGCACGCGCTGGGCACTAGCTGAAGAAGACTGGGAATTCTCCATGCCCAAGTACTTGTCATCTGAAAAGTGCCTTTCAGGTTTGACGTCAGTACTGGGTCCCGCTTCGCTCGGGTAACAGGAGTAAGTCAGAAGCACGTACCATAGGTTACGCCTGCGGCGATAATCGCTCCTGAAGAATAGCCTGTCAGTACACCCGAGCTCTTCTGACTTCTCGTCTCTCTAATCACTTACCCACGAACCAGGAAGCGTTGAAAAGACTCGTCATGATGGATCGCTCCTTGGCATATGAGAGTTCTCCTAGCAGAGAAGACGCATTGATGATCGCGAATGGGATGCCAAAACCAAGAACCCAGCGCGAAGCCAAAAACATGTCCTGATTTCGCGAGCCGGCCTGAAGACCCGCTCCCAAAACCATGATCCATGAACCGAGAAGGATTGTGCGACGACGGCCGAGGTAGTTACTCGCAATAGGGACGAAGGGAATAGCCATGAGAGCGCCAAGAGAGTACATGGCGTTAAGAAGACCAAGGCGAGAAGAGTTTGGACGACCGAAGTCTGGACAGACATGTCAGCTGCTTTGTCACAGGTGATGATCTTGGGACAAGACAGCGATATACATTCGAACCATGATTCCACGGCTTGAA